TGAGGGTACCTGGGTGGCTCAGTCAGGGCCTGCTCCGTGGAGAGCCTGCTTCTCCCTCTCCTGCTCCCCCTGCTTGCTTTCTCTCTCTCTCTGTCAAAAGTAAATTTTTAAAAGATTTTATTTATTTATTTGACAGAGAGAGAGAGCACAAGCAGGGGGAGTGGCAGAAGGAGAGGGAGAAGCAGCCTCCCCGCTGAGCAGGGAACCCCATGTGGGGCTTGATCCCAGGACTCTGGGATCATGACCTGAGCTGAAGACAGACCTTAACCGACTGAGCCACCCAGGCGTCCCAGTAAATAAAACGTTTAAAAAAAATAAATAGATAGATAGATAGATAGATAGAGGAGTTGCCGAATCAGTCAAACAAGGAGCTATACTTCTAGGCCTCTTATGACATGACATAATAATTTACTTATTGTATAAAAAGTCTGAATCAGTTTCACTTACAGCTGCAAACACTATAATTTAATTCAATTATTAATCTAGCGGCAATGCCTCATTTCTTGCAAGAGCAACTTCACATCAGACCACCCTGCTTCCATAGAATGTTATTATTTGGGGGTCTTTCAAGAAAGAGGGCAAGTACAAAACTCAGTGCTGTCCTCTCATCTTTCAGGGCTGTGCGGAGTCTACCTTCCCCCAACCTGTGTTATCACCATGAGAACAATTTCAGACACAAAAATATAATAGGTCAAAGAAATTTCATCAAGCCATTGAAAATCCTTTAGGTCACAGATAAATTAGCAACACAGGTACCTGGCTGCCTGATGAATAAGGTCCACATATATGGAATAGAAGAATACTGAGCACTCCCTCCACTCCCCTACAACCAATAGGTATTGCCTTAAGTTCTCCATTTAGAGATTCACCCTTTTGAGCTGAAGTAATTACTGTTAAATATAAATGCCCATTTAGGGGTCATAGGTTTAGCCTTACTAACATTTAAATATTCAGTGTAAGCTCATCAAATCTTTCGTGAGAGCAAAATTTAGGATGGGGAGTTAGAAAGGGAATACAATTACAGTGAGTACTTGGGGCCCAAGAAGGGAGGAAAACATGAAAGGTGAAGTGAGGGCCTTGAAGACAAAGTATATTTGCTTTGCAATTCTCCTACTAGAACTCATTACTCATCCTTCAGTTTGTAGAGATCAGGTGACAAGTAATGATCTTCTCAAGCCAGGAGGGGCCCAGGTTCCCCCTCAGAACCTGGCCGGGGCCAACAACAGGAGTTGTCTCCAAGGTGGAACATCGACCCAAAAGCTTCAGTATCCCATTGGAGCCACATGAGTTGCTGGGCCAGCCAGGAGGAAGGAGGAAGCCAGGAATCTCACCAGCCTGTGAAATTAGCCAACTTCACCCCGGCATCAGGGATAGATATGGAAGCCAGATGACCTTTGCATCCGGATACTAGGCAGGTCGAACATCCCCTTAACTCTCTACCTTCCACTGTCTGGAATTGGTCATTTCACTTTAAGCACCAACTAGATATAAAATTTTAGTGCATAACCACTAAATAACCTTACAAAGTATTGGATTCATATGAATAGCATTGAAAACAAGCAGAACGTCTGTCATTATCTTTGTGAAGACTTCACAGTTCCTACTGTAGAGCTTTTTTTTTTTACAAAGAATAAAATCATTGCGGGGAGCCTGGGTGGCTCAGTCGTTAAGCGTCTGCCTTCGGCTCAGGTCATGATCCCGGGGTCCTGGGATCGAGCCCCACATTGGGCTCCCTGCTCAGCAGGGAGCCTGCTTCTCCCTCTCCCACTCCCCCTGCTTGTGTTCCTGCTCTCGCTGTCTCTCTCTCTGTCAAATAAATAAATAAAATCTTTAAAAAAATAAAGTCATTGCAAAAATTTTAAAAAAACCCCTATTTTCCAGATCATTAAACTGAGATATAAGGAAGTTACCATGATCATAAAGTTTATCAGACCCAAACTCACAGTTAATCCTCCATCCTTAGAGCCCCTTTCCACCAAGCACTCCTGCTTCCTCCTCTCTTCAACCAAGGCCTCCACTGACTTGGGAAGTGCTGAACTTTAATGGAGCACCAGATCCCCCCTTCCCCTAGAGAGACTCAAGCTAAAATCACTTCTAGCCCAGGGTTACATGGTGCCTTTAAGCTTTAATTTTACATTTTCTAAATACATTCAGGAGGTAAAAATTAGAACAGTACAAAAGGGATAGTATATAAATAACTCCCCCACCCTTGCTCCCTCTCTTGACCTCCAATCCCCAGGTTCCCTTGCGAGAAACAATCATCCATTTCTTGAGCATCCTTCTGAATATGAACTGTGTACATAGAAGTAGGTAAAATGCATAGCCTGTTTTGCTCTTTAAATTACAAAATCCCACAATGAATTCCCAGAAATGTAATTTGCATAGAATCTTAGAGGAACACAACATATGTGTTAGAAATGCCCAACATCCAGGCAGGTTTGGGGTAAGGAACAAGGTTTCTCACAATGATTTCAAACCAGAAAAGAGACATACGCCGCATTTTTAGATCCACCACCTTTTCTAAACCCACTTTTAGCCTGTACATACTCCAGAAACAACAGCGTTCGTAAAAGTACGACTCACTGATTTAAAATAATATATTGTCATCTGTATGGAAACTATTTTTTAAGCTTCAAGAGGAAGCCCAAAGCTCTCATAAGTCAGGACCTAATGAGCAAGTGCATATTCATTCTATCCACGTACTTCATTATTTTGTAGACTTCTATCCTGTCCCCTCTAAGCCTTTGTCCTTCTGAACCAAGAAGTCTTCTTCACAACTAACCAAATGAGAAAAACATTGCTCCTGATGGTTCACAGAAGTCACCAGAGACGGTACAATCCCAGCCTCAGGCAATCTGAACCTTCTATGTTTTTAAAATCAGGCAGGTGACAGGTTTTGCTAAAACAGGGCATTAGCAATCATGCATGTGGTAACTAAATCCCTATTTAGACCTGGAGGTCAGGCTATTCCACATTTTGGACAAATAGCAATAATAACCAGCTCTGCAACTGGATACCCAACAGAGTTTAAGAAACAGATGGGAAAGTTACCTATTTTCAAATCTCTGCCAAACTCCCCTTAGTTTAGAAGGAATATAATCCAGTCGTCTGTGCTACTAAATCCAATACCTCTTTCAACACTAATTCATATACACAGTGTGTTGGCAATGACTTGTAGCAATGATGAGTGGCATTTTATATGAGTGAGCTTCCCAGAGGAGAGACACATCCCTAAGTGGTAGACATAATAGTCGTTAAAAAAAAATAAAGTTAGAAGAAAAATAATCACACATCACTGCTTCATCACAATAACCGAAAAACTGAGCCCTTAATACCAAAAGGAATGTAAGGTCTCTACCCCTGAAACTGTGCATAAAGATCTTCATTAGAGCCAGCCCAAACTGTTCTGTCTCGACTTAATGTCATAGTCACAGGTAGCATTTCAAATCCTAGTCCATGATCTCACAAATGCAAGTCACAAATGCAAGAAAGGAAATGTGTATGCTTGCGTATAATTCATGCCACTAGCTGAAAGACAACCCCAAAGCTGTGGCATCACTGCGGCTGGGTGAGATATTTTCACAGTATGTTTAAGAACAAAAGAGAAGAACTGCCCCCCCCACACACACAAATGGTTAAAATGCAGTCCATGTCAGTAGAAACACCTGGAGCACCTAATTACCAGAAGATATTTGTGGACCAATGTGCTCTAAGTTCTGTACTGACAACAGGAAGCACATCTGGGCCCTCAGTCCAAATGCAGCCCACGTGGTCTCCTCAGGGAAAGCCTCAGTAAGCAAAACCCAGATAGCACTACACATCTGGCTTTTGCCCCAGCACGAACTACCACTCCCTCTCCGCCGGGCACTCTGCATTTTTTCAACAAGCCATTCTCAGCCATCACAAGTGCCTTGATGGGAATCACAGGGAGGCCTCATCCCATTTCCCAAAATAACGTCAACCAGAGGCAAAGGCCAAGGAGGTGGAGCCTACGGGCCATTCTGCAAAAGTTTCAAATATCCTGGCACTGACCCCCTTAAAAAAATCATGAAAGGCAAACAGGCAAGCTTCTTGTTTTCTCAATAGTGTTCACTCTCTCTCTGTCTCTCACTCTCTCTCTCATTACAAACTGAATTTATAAGAAACAAAAAAACAGATCTCACATAAAATCATATTAACATTGCTGGCTGTTGGAAACAGAATTTCATTTTGCAAATTTAATAGCCAAAATCTGAAATTGAAACTTATAAAAGAAATGTGCAGTATTCCTGCTACAGTTCAATCCCCAACGAGGTCCCTGAGGCGTAAGACTGAACAAAGAACTGGTGAGCCGTCCCACCTTCTCCAAAGCTTTTCTGAAATATGGAACTGCCTCAGATTTTCCATACTCTGCTGATATTTCCTCTGAAGAGAGAGGAAGCAGATTTCTTGGCCGTACAGTTAAAGAAACCAAATAACGTACTCTCTCTCCTAATATCAAAGGGGCTTTTCCAAAACACACACACACACACACACACACGCGCGCGCGCGCGCGCGCACACACACACAAGTGTACTTCCTGAAATATAAACAAAAGAGAGAGAGAATATGACAACGAGGGAAAGAAAATGCCACTTTGTTTAGTTTTTTAAAACCTTCCCATAAAATCAGTAGCAAACTCAACAGCGGCATATTTTTCCCCACCATCTCCCCTTATTCCCCACCATCTCCCCCTTCTGCCTACAGTACTGACAGCAAGAGCAAATGATATTGCAGGTGTGAAAACGACTCGGGAAGAGAGTATAAATTGCCAAAGAAATACAAACTGTCATTACTATTACTGAAACTTTAAAAGGGCCAGCGGCCCACATTTATCTCTTCGGATCGAAAAACCACACCTCTCCCTAGATGCTCACTCCGGGCATGCCTGCCTCTTCCCAAATACTTCTTTCCCAGGTCCCTGTCCCTAGCTATACTCCCCCCTTGCAAGCCGCGCCTTTCCCGCCCCGCCGAGTCCTCACCGTGTGGTACATAAGAGCCTCGGTTTCCCCGGGCTCTGACAGCTCGCTCAGCTTGCGGTCCCACTGCAGGACGCTCTGCTCCCCGCTCTCCAGCACCTCCATGCTGGTCCGAGGGACGCTGGGCCGAGGATGCTGAGGGCAGGAGGGGAGCGGGCAGAGCCGCCTCGGAGGCTAAGGTCCGGCTCCGCGGGGTGTGTGCGCGTGTGTGCGTGTGTGCGCGTGTGCGTGAAGCTTATGCACTTAGGAAAAACGTTCTCTGCTCTGCCTGAGGGAGAACTGCCAAGGGCTCCCGTCCGGTGTCCTCGGAAGTCTGAGAACTGCCGGGAGAGACAGGCTGTCCAGGGATCTGGCTGAAGGCTGCGGGGGTGAGGGGGGGTTAAAGCAGGGCGCGCATCCAAAATGAAGGCAGGAGATCAGCTCTCATCCCAAGAAAATCCCTTCGCAATAAGCCCACTCTCCACTATCGCTCCAAACACAAACTTTGTGACTTCCCAGGGCTCCTCAGTTCTGCTCCAGGACCCAGCTATGACTCCACCTCCCTCTGGGGCAGAGACCAATCGGATACTCACCTCGCCCGCCCTATCCAATCAGAAGTCTGGCTTTCCGCCCCGTCCCGCCCGGAAAGGCTGGGCAGCGGGAAGTCTCTGCCCAGGCTTTGGAATGTGGGCGGGGAGCTCCTTTGGCGTCACCGGGGAACTCCTTCTGCCGGAGCGCAACCAGCCACCGCTCTCTGAGGCAGCGGACCAATGGAGTGCTTGAGTCTGGGAGTGATGGACTGGAAGCGTGGCCAATGATAAAAGGGCGCATGGGAGGAACAGCCAATCAAATAGCGACAAGAATACATTTCATAAAGAAGGGGGGGTGAACTCGGTACCTTCGCTTAGAATCCACAAAAGTTAGCGCGAGCTTCTGGAAGGGAAGGGAGCCGCTGTGTGGGCAGATTTATATACTGTATTAAATATTATATATTTATATATGGTCTTAAATATTTTCTTAATGTAGATTAGCTCATTTGAGTTTCGAGATTTTTTTTAAAAAGTGAGTTACATATTCACAAATATAAATATTCCCCATTGTGTGTGAATTTGTATTAGCACAGCTCTAGCAAATTGTCAGTTTGTTCCTCACATTTTTCGCCCTAGTTCGGCTATGCTCCTCTCCTGACATGTTTTTTAATCACTTTTTTTTTTCTTTCAGTTCACTCTACAGACGCTTGATAAAAGCCAATGGCTGGCTTTTCCAGGTCCTAAAGAGCTGTGAGTTAAGACCTTGAATTCAGGGACACCAGGTGGCTCAGTCAGTTAAGCGTCTGCCTTCGGCTCAGGTCATGATCCCAGGGTCCCGAGATGGAGTCCTGCCTCAGACTCCCTGCTCAGTGGGAAGTCTGTTTCTCCCTCTGCCCCTTTCCCCTCATTCTCTCTCTCTGATAAATAAAATCTTTGCGGGGGGGAAAGACCTTGAATTCACAGAACTTGTATCTCCATGGAGGAGTCAGGCAATAAACAGATAAAGAAAGAAAGGCATAATGCAAACCTTTTTTTTTTTTTTAAGATTTTGTTTATTTGTTTGAGAAAGAGAACACGCAGTGGGGGAGGAGCAGAGGGAGAAGAACAAGCAGACTCCATACTGAGCCCAGAGCCGCACAAGGGGCTCCATCCCATGACCCCGAGATCATGACCTCAGCTGAAATCAAGTCGATAAATAAAGGCATGATGTAATTTCAGAAAGTGGTAACTGGTATAAAGAAAAATAAAAGCAAGGTAAGACTATGGGGCAGTTCCATGCTATTTTAGACAGCAGTCAGGGAAGTTCTTTCTGGGAAAGTGACATTTGAGCAGGGACCTGAATGAAATGAGGTTTGGGGAAGAGCTGGTGTTTTGCTGACTGACGGGGAGGCCCATTTGGCTGCAGCAAGACTTGCCAGGCAGTGAGTGATGGGAGAGGAGGCCTGAGAGATGGGCAGGGAGACCAGATCACCAGCCTGCCTAGATTAGGGAAGAGAGAGCTATTCTAAAGTATTTTCCCCCAACACTGTGATTTTTCTCCCTTTTTAGACTCCTCCTTTAAGGGAAACAAAGTCATTGAAAATATAATTTGCTCATATTGTTTTTGGCCTTTTTAATTAGTTTGCTCATTTTAAATATAAAGGAGTCTGCCAATTGTCTCTCAAAGTTTCTTTCAATGGCACATTCAGATTTTAGGTATTACTTCCTCTCCTTTGCAAGTATTTCTTGGTGAGTGGGGTCAGTCAAAGGTCTTGGGACTCTGTTGTCTTTAAGCAGCAGATTGTCATGTGAACTATTCCATTTGTCTGGTCCTATCTCCTGGGACTTTTGAGAATATTTTAATATTTGAGTAGAAATTCCAGTTTATGGGCATGTACCTTCTTTGTGTAATAGGTTTGTCATTTTTCTCTTGGTCCTTGATTTTCATCTTTCAATCTGCTACCTCCTTCACCACATCTTTTTAGCATAACCCTCATGTGAGTAGGTTAGAAACATGTACATCCCCCTTAATGTTGGGATACAAACCTTTATCTATCAAACATTTCTGCTTTTGACAAAGTCAGCCCCTAGTTATGCCCCATGTGGTAGGCAGCTTCGAAGATGGCTCCAATTATTCTGCTTCTTGGTATTTATACCCTTGTGTAACTCCCTAACCTTCAGTGTGGGCTGGACTTCCTTCAAACACATAGAATATGTCAAAAGTAATGGGCTTTCAAGAAAGATTCTGGCTCCTCACTTGCTTGACCTCTCTTCCTCTCTTGCTTGCTTACTCTAAGGAAAACCAGCCACCAGGTTGTGAGCTGCCCTATTGAGAAGCCCACATAGCAAGGAACTGAGGAAAATGTCCAGCCAAAAACCAGCAAGGAACTGAATCCCTCAGTCCAACAACCCTTGAGCAACCACATCCTGCTAATAACCATGTGAGTTTACTCTGGGAGCAGATTCCTCCCCCCAACCCCAAGTTGAACCTGAAGATAACCATAACGTTATCAGAGACCCTGAACCAGAGGACTCAGCTAAGCTGCATCCAGATTCCCAACCCACAGACACTAAAGGTAATACACGTATGGTTTTTTTTTGTTTTTCTTTTTAAAGATTTTATTTATTTATTCATGAGAGACAGAGAGAGAGAGGCAGAGGCAGAGGGAGAAGCAGGCTCCCCGCCGAGCTGGAGCCCAATGCGGGACTCGATCCCAGGACCCTGGGATCATGACCTGAGCCGAAGGCAGACGCTTAACTGACTGAGCCACCCAGGCGTCTCCATGTATGTTGTTTTAAGCCACTAAATTTTTTCTTCATAAAATAAGTCATATAATAGTTGGAACCCTAAAATGTTTGATAAAATTTACCTGTACTCCAAAAACAGTCACAATCCCTAATGGTGAGTTTTTTCATCCTCCTTTGTTTCATGTTTCCTTCTTCCATTCAGCGTACACAGGACTTCGCACCAGCTCATTTCTTGTTCTACACTTCAGTCTAACATCTGCCCCTTTCCCTCTCATTCTTAGGATTTAGCAAGTGCATTCGCTTTTTTTTTCCAGCTTCTCTGTCATCCTTAAAAAGCAGCAGCACTTACTCGCCTGTCTTTTTTCTTTTCTCCTTTTTTTTTTTGAGATATAATTGACATATAACATTACGTTAGTTTCAGGTGTACAACATAATGACTCAATATTTGTATATATTGCAAAAAGATCGCCACAATGTCTGGCTATAATCAACATGATGTATGTTAGATTCCCAGGACTTATTTATTTTATAACTGAGGAGTTTATACCTTTTGACCCACTTCACCCATTCTGCCTACCCACTCCTGCCTTTGGTAGTCACCAATCTGAATACTCTGTATCTATACATTCAGGGTTTTTTTGTTTTTGTTTTTATATCTCACATATAAATGAGATCGTACAGTATTTGTCTTTCTGTCTGACTTATTTCACTTAACATAACGCCCTCAAAGTCCATCTATGTTGTTGCAAATGGCAAGATTTCCTTCTTTTTATGGATAAATAATATTCCATATTGTATATATACCACATTTTCTTTATCCATTCATCCACTGATGGACACTTAGGTTGCTTCCATGTCTTGGCTATTATAAATAATGCTGCAATGAACATGGGGCTGCAGATATCTTTTCCAGGTAGTGGTTTTGTTTCCTTCAGATGAATACCCAGAAGTGGAATTGCTGGGCCATATGATAGTTCTATTTTTAATTTTTTGAGGAACATCAATACTATTTCCCACAGTGTCTGCACCAGTTTACATTCCCACCAATGGTACACAAGGGTTTCCTTTTCTGCACATCCTCACCAACATTTGCTATTTCTTGTCTTTTTTGATCATAGCCATTCTAACAGGTGTGAGATGATAACTCATTGTGGTTTGCATTTGCCCTTTCCTGATGGTTAGTGATGTTGAACACCTTTTTATGTATGTGTGTGTGTGTGTATGTGTGTGTATATATATATATAAAATACAGAAAGAGAGTGTGAGTGTGGGAGTCAGAGGGAAATGGAGAGAGAGAATCTTAAGCAGCCTCCACACTCAGCACAGAGCCTGATGCAAGATTCGATCTCACAACCCTGAGATCATGACCTGAGCCAAAATCAAGAGTCAGAGGTTTAACCGACTAAACCACCCAGGCACCCCAGTTCTTGATATATTTTGGATATTAACCCCATATCAGATATGTGATTTGCAAATATTTAATGCCATTTAGTAGGTTGTCTTTTCATTTTGAGGATGGTTTCCTTTGCTGCACAAAAGCTTTTTGGTTTGATGTAACCCCATTTGTTTATTGTTGCTTTTATCGCCTTTGGTTTTGGTATCAAATCCAAAAAATCATTGCCAATACCAATGTCGAGGAGCTTACCACCTATGTTTTCTTCTAGGATTTTTTTGGGTTTCAGGTCTTACGTTCAAGTTTTTATTCCCTTTTGAGTTAATTTTTGTATATGGTTTAAGATAATGGTTTTGTTTCATTCTTTTGCATGTGGCTGTCCAGTTTTCACATCACCATTTATTAAAGAGACTGTCCTTTCCCCATTGTATATTCTTAGCTCCTTTGTTATAAATTAATTGGCCTTATATGCATGGGTTTCTTTCTGGGCTCTCTATTCTGTTCCACTGATCTATCTGTCTGTTCTTATGCCAATACTATAGCTTTGTAATATAGTTTGAAATCAGGAAGCATGACGCCTCCAGCTTTGCTTTACTTTCTCAAAATTGCTTTGCCTATTTTGGGATTGTTTGTTCTATGTTTGTGAAAAATGTCATTAGAATTTTGATAGGGATTACATTGAATCTGTAGACCACTTTGAGTAATGTGGACATTTTAACATTATTAATTCTTCCAATTCATAAAGCAAGAAATATCTTTCTATTTATTTGAATTTTCTTTCATTTCTTTCATCAGTGTCTTAGTTTCCAGTTACAGGTCTTTTACCTCCTTGATTAAATTTATTCCTAGGTATTTCAT